AGCACACCCAGTTAATGATCATTTCCCGTGGGGAGGAGGTTGAAGTTCATGCCAAGCGAAACAGACCCCCAGTCTCCACTCCCGTCACACAACTACAATGAAAATTGAGCCCCTCACTCTTAAGGACCCTGATCTATGGTTTGTACCAGCCAGAAACTGGAATGGAGTCCCCAACAAGAACTTTACAGCAGGTAGGCGAGATACTTCCAGGGTGTGGGCGAGGAGAAGAGGCATGTCTCTATGGAGGCTACCATTCGCCTGCATGCACACCTCCACCAGAAAGCTCCCCAGGTTCCCATGTGGACTCACCAGGCCCCTCACCGTCCCACCGATCTGTCTCTTCTTCACTGATCTGTCAGTAGACCTGTTGCTACCGAGGACACCATGGGCTATGCAGACATGTCAGGAAGAAGCCTAGACATCGTCCTAAATTCCTCCCACTCCATCTGTCTGTATTCCATCAGTGTATTTCAATTCAGAGCTCTCTCCGCACTACCTCATATAAGTCCTGTGGATACACCCCTTTGTCCACTCTCACTGCAGTTTGCCTCGGTCCACCTTCAATTACTAAAATATCTTCTATCTCTCAGCTGGTCTTCAATTTCAGAGCTCCCTGTCCCCCACTCCTGTTCCCCTTACTGACATTTCCCCCAAACTGCTGCCAGCATCCTATGTCTAATATGAAAATCTAAGCACATTATTCTACTAAATTCCTTCAGCAGCTTCTACCAACATCAGGATAAAAGCACTAATCCTTTGCAAATTCTAGCCTCTGACTTTTCCCGCTTCAGGCCCCTTGCCCGTGTGTCCTACACATTCACATCGGAGGCTGCACTTGGTCCAGCTGCATCCTCTGCATGCTTTCACACGTGCTGCTCCCTCTGCATTGAATGCCCTCCCCTTTCCTGAGATATGTAACTTGTCATTAGCTCTGAGACTCAGCTGCAATTCTCTCTTCCTGCAAGAACTTCTCTCGACTTCCCTCCACTTTGATTTAGGGATCTGCTTGGTGTCTTGTCTCCAAGACCAGATATTTGCACCTCTGTCCACCTCTATCAGGTACCTGTTTGTTGTTGCTCATGTGACACGTGTCCCTCAAGGCAGGACAATCTCTCACCTCTGTCTCCCAATCGCTAGTCCAAAGCCTCTCTCAGCAGGTGCAGAAAGAAAAAATCAACTGACTTAAATGAGGACAAAAATGAAAGCTGTTAATGTCTACTTTCTTCTCGCAGGTGACATGGACACATCACTCACCAACAGCCCTGGCTTTCTGGTAAGTCTTTAAGGTATTGAGTTCCAACACCAACTCAGAGGACATATCATGCTAACATGAATGGCAAGAGTGCTTCTCTCATCAAGGAACTTCTGGTTTTCTTTATTTTCTCTTCCAGGAAATTATGGGAATGTCTTTTTTTCCACTTGACTACCTAAAGACTTTGCATGAGAAAAGAGGTAAAAAGCACATTGCATTCATGTGATGCTGAAGGAAGGATATTATATTATAACTGAGTACTGACTCAGAATCAAGAATTTCCCCTGGGATAAGGCACAGTGAAATTTTTTGAAAAGAACAAGAAACAAGTGAATTTAGAAAGCACAGCCAATGTATTTAGTCCAAACGTATAAGCGGCTACCTCCACAAGGCATGTTACAGGGGAGCTTTCATAGTCCCCTTAGGTTTCCCACTTCTCTTGCATTAATTTCCACTTGTGTACCTGATTCCATTTTTCCTGTAGCCTGAGTAGCCTGAGATATTAGTCTGAGTTCCCTACTCCAAGGGCCACCGGATCTGTGCTTTGGAGCTGACTTGAACCATCAGGGTGGATATTTACTCTAAAATGAAAAACAAAGTAGAGCAGGCAGACAATGTCAAACCTCAGAGCAAATGTTGGTCTAACCTGGGAGAGAATTTAGTGATGATCCTGGCAGGGAGTGCTGACATCAGGACAAGACGATGAGATCGATGTTTGTGAAAAATCAAAAGACAGAGAACGCTGGGCCCTGAGCTTTATTTCAGACTCTTGATCCAAGAGATATATTCCTAAGAGACAATCATAGCCACACCTGGCTAGTCTGTCTGGATGAAAGGAAGACTGGATGAACAGTGTTTCAGCAAGGTATGCACAGCTGTTGTCAAGAAAGATGGATTCACACTAAATTAAGCTCAATTATGGTGACTTTGTATTCTTTTCCCAAGGTGCCTGTGAGCGCTGACATGCAGCCCCTGGAGAGTTGGAGCTCCTCCAGATCCTACTACAGATTCCTTGTGGTTCTCATAAATTGGGCGTCTAAAAGTTAGAAAAATAGCAATCAGATGATGGCATCCTGAGATGGACCAGCAAGTAAGCTTAAGTAGCTTAAAAGGCTGACATTTCTGCCAGAGGCTCTGGTCATGAGAAGGAGAGAGATGGGGATCCATGAGGAAGAGCTGGCTCTTTTTAAAAGTGCTTTGTTTGATCTCCTATTTCATTTCTCAGAAAGTGTGTGTTAATTTAGAAAGTAAACCGGCATCTGCTCTTGGATTTGGGAATCAAACGACATATGCTTGGGATAGGCTTGTTAGCGGCTGCTCCGACAGCACTCTTCTGGAGGGGTACCCGGAAGAGTCTTTGATGGCCACAGTCCTTAGCAGTGGCCATCCCTCAAAGGCATCTTCCTCAAAGGCATCTGAGGTGGGTGGGGGTATTTCGGTTGAACAATGACTGACCGCTGGCTTTCTGCAATGCTATTACTTTCAGGTGTGGACATTTCTACTACTAGATCAACTGCTAAAGTGCAAATACACTTTTTTCATAATTAGAATCCTTAATCAACTGTCATATTCCTTCCTTCAATTATCTTTTGTCCTCAATTTAGGAAGGACTCTATACTTTGAATCACAATCCAATTCTGTGGAAGAAGGATGGTTCCATAAGTTAGCAGAAGATGGCCCTCTGTTTTGTCCAGTCACCAAAGAACCTGTTTTCTGACCACATTCCTTTGGGCTTATAAAGAAAATACAAGAACCTGCCTGTGTCATTTGCTGGTTGAAGGAGTTCTGAGGAAACAGTTCTCATCAAATTTAAAGGAAGACAATCAAGGAAGATTATGGGATTTTCCTTGAACTTTGGACTATCTTGGCTTTTATTCCAAGCTGAAATAGGATATTTGTTCCAATTTTTTCTCATTCATTTTTCTTTAAAAACCTGCTCTTTATTCTTTTCTGGCTTCATCACGCCAGCATACAATGAGCACACTTCACCTATTTTTTGGGGGACTGTCTAAAGTGTACCCAAGACCTTAAAAAAAGATAACAAAGCAAAGCATGAAGAAGGAAGGAAAAAAAAGAAAACCAGCCTACAGACCTCCAGAGACCGGATGGTGCCCCCCCCCCCCCCGCATTCCTCTCTGGGAGAGGTCTGTCTCCTGGAGAACAGCCTTTCTGAGGGACGCTTCCTGCTCTTTCAGGCAAAGGCCAAGGCCTCCTTCCCGTAGTTACCAAGTAGCACTGCACTTTCTTAGAAAGATGCCGTCTAGTTATTCCCCTTCACCGGAAAGGAGCTAGTCCAGAGTGACTTCTGTCTGTCTGCTCCGAAATCTGTCAGCTACTCCGATGCCCCGGTGACAGACACCGAGCTGATCTAAAGCACAATTGAGTCTCACCTGCTTACCATCATCTGGGCTCAGCAGCGTGAGCACACAACCCTGCAGCACACCCTCAGGAGTGGGTTTTGCCAGGTCTCCAAAGTCAGGACACAGTCTCCTAAAAACTGTGACAAAGAGTGTAACACACATCCACTCCTGTCCCATTCCCATAGAGACCCATTTGTCTCACAGCAAAACATCAAAACACAGCCCACTCACTGTGGGCTCTCAGCATAAGCCCGTCACAGATGGGGTGGGATGGCATGGAGTGGGGAGGTTGCAGGCCTGAGCCACTGAGGGGAAGGTTCAAGGAGTGTAGCAGCGAAGCGGCTGCAAATCAGCTGTACCCCATCATTGACCAGTTCCACGATCAGCTTGGTACTCTCTTAAACTTGCGCCTAGGTAATCATGGGCATCTTTCTGTGCCAGGTTTCTGTGGTGGGGAGCAGGGAGGGCACAGAGCTTCCTATGGCCACAGATCCAAGGGAAAGATCAGAACGAGCAAAACCTCAGGACTATTAATGCCAGCAAACAAGGCTCTCTCCTCCCCTCAGTGTTGTGGTCCCCGAAGCATGACTGGCTATTGTTTCCCCATCTAGGATTGTTATTAGTGTGTCTCTGATGAGCATCTTTCCCTAAGGACTTCCCAGTCCTTGAACAACTGGAGTCTAAAAATACAGAATGCCCGTATCCTCTTTGAAGCTTTCATGGGCAATTTGGAAATCTCTGTCTCCTGATGAGTATCTTTCGAAGAGGACAGATTTATTGGGCAAGGTAGGAACATTTATTTATGCTGCACAAAAGGCCTTTTATCACCTACATGCAAATCTTTTATCAGGCTTAAAACACTGTCAGAGAATCTCAATGGTATTTTCTAGTCCCTTAAACAGATGCAGAGACAGGGTTTAAAGATTTCTTTGGATATCAAAGAAAAGGGAGAGAGAAAGGAAGCACTACTATGGTTCTGTATTAAGGGAGATTTAAAAAAAGATCCTGTGGTTTGTTTTGCTAAATTATTGACAGTTCCCTGGCTATGGCAAGGAGCTAGAAGGCTGGAGTAGTCCAGCTTCTTTACACGCAGGGCAGACTGAGGAAGTTACGAGCAAACAGTAGATCCTATCACTGTGAGCTGTGACTCATTTAATTGTCTGCAAGCCAGTGCATAAAGGAAAAAAAAAAAAGGGAGAGGGCATTGACCTCTCTTGCTCCTGATTCCTAGGTTTTGGCAAGCGGCCTTTCGGCCACAGTGAACCCTGGAGCTCTGCGAGGGATGGGGTAACCCAGGAGCCTGGGGAAGGGAGGGGCGCCTCTTCTCCTGCTCACTGTAAGTAAAGGGAGGGACTCTGTTCCCAGTGGTTTCTCGTTTCGTCACTCACCTTTCATACCACTACCTTCTTCTTGGAATGTGTTACGAGCAGTGGTCTGATCTTCTAAGTGTTCACTCCCACCACTTCCTGAAGAGGCTACACTGCTTTGTGGAGACAGGGGGGCATGATCGGATGGGAGGCACTGGGGTCCTCTAGCTCGTAAGTCCTCATGAGACATCCATCCATGTCCTAGAGGCTGGTTTGGCACATTCATGGGTGGGGTAAGGGACACAGATCGTTTCAAAGGGCTGTGGTGTGCCTGGCCTGAGAGAACTGGAAAAAAAAATAAAATGAAATAGGTTATTCCCCCCCCTTTAGCCTGGGCCACAGAAGAACCCAACAATACCTCTTCACCCTGAGAGACGCTGGTAACTGTCTCACAACTCTGTCAGGGGTCACATGGGTTGAATACAGGCCTGGCAGGGTCCTTTCCTTTGGGATTATTGATAAGGATGCTGTCTGTACCTCTTGGTGGGTTGGGTGTCTCCAAAAGGGTGAAACCCCTAGAGCCCACACATCCGGCGTTAGCCCTTGTGAGTGGGGATCCAGTTTTTGTTCTGACTTTAGTAATCAGGACTCATAGCAATGGGCCCATAAATCAGGTGAGGCTTGACAGCCTGGCAAAGTGGACATGTGCCAAGCGTCAAAAGAACATGTGCTGGACAAATTAAAAAAAAAAAAAAAAGCGCACACGAACACTGGCATTCCCCATGTTGTTAGGGAGGACTTGTTGAAGAGCAGGCAGGCTGGGCACCATCTGGGATCTTTGCTGGGCTGAATTAGAAGAAGGTGGACCAACCAGGAGTCAGGGGAGTTATCACCTCTGGAGGCGGTGCAGCCTCAGAGAAGGGCCCAGTGCTCACACCGGGCTCAGGGAATGGGGTACCGCAGCTGTGCATGAAAGGGCCGATTCTTTCCTTTGGCTTCACAGGTTAAGGCCAAACTCATCTTGAAAACACTTCCAGGTAACAAGGCTTTCATTCAGAGGCCAGTGGGGCACTCTCAGTGAGCTGCGAATGGTTTTAACCAGCATGTTCAGCCCTTCCGTGCAGTAGGCGACAACTGCCTAGCCCCAGTTTTTAATTTATTTTCCAGAAAACTAGGAAAAAGCAACAAAACTCACATAACTGGCCAAATTAAATTGAGGTCATTCAAGGGAAGGACTGAACCAAAATCAACGCCGAGGGAGCCGACGTTACCCTTGGATGGTTTTTCTGGGCGTGTAAAGTGACAACTTTACAAAATAAGTCTATTCATAACATTCACTCAGCACTGGTTCCTGACAGGTCCAGTTTATTTTCACTGCTGTAGTACTAACATGGACTCCAGCCACATGCATTTTGAAACATTTTTCAGGGAAGCCATTAAATTCCATCTCAGGCGCTATCCCCTCCAATGAGGTATTTGTTGTCCTAAGTCTGGACGGGCACTTCTCTGCTGGACATGATCTTTCTGTGTTTTTTAATAAGCAGCCCTGACATCCCAAAGTAAGAAGTTCTGCTCTGTGTTAAGCTGCAATTCTGGGGAGCAGCACCTACGTGAAGACCTGAGCAGTAGAGCACCTTGCCTCCACCTTAAAAGATGGAGACCAGAGCCCAAAAGCTGGTTGTTCCCAAAAAGTGTGTTTGGGTGGAGCTAGTGTGGGTTAGGCTGCTCATGGGCTGGCATGAAGCAGACCCTGAGAGCTCCGGATTCAGAGCTCACACCTCTGTTGTCAGTTTCCATTTGGCTTCATGTCGCCAGAAGGGCAGCTTCGTGTGTGAAGGGGACATCAGAAAGACGAGGAACGTCTCTACTAACAAAAAGGGAGGAAAACACGGGAGCAGCCCAGCTTAGAATTTGTAACCTGAGACATTCTTATTTTGGGTACATTCTATCAAAGGCAAGGAACTATCATCTAACTTTAAAATATGCAAAGGGAACAATGTTTTTAAAAACTGACCTTAACAGGTTGAAATTGCTTCCATTTCCACTAGAGAGACTAGGGAAGAAACTATTTAAAAGGCTCCCTGGAAAATGCATTACTACCTGGTTGGATCAGAATTAGCAAGAGAAAAAGGAAGAAAAATGCAGAAAAAGAAAAATGAAAAGGAAGCAGCAGCAAAAATGAAGAGAGAAGCCAATAGGAAAAGCCAGACATCCAGAAAATCCATTTCATGCCTGTCTAAGTATTTATGTAAAGTTGGGCAGACTTGTTTAGGGCTGCCCCCAGTGCTGGAATGTTCTAGCTTAGGTGTCTTTACTTGCTGGGACCTCTGCAACCATTTCAGAACATCTGGCTGATGCTCTGAATGGTGCCAGTCAGGTGTGCCCCAAATGGAAGTGGAGGGTCTTCTTCACAGAATTAGGTGAGTCTGAAACCATAGAAAAAGGCCCTTCCAAAGAGACACACAGCTTGGAGCTGGCAGAACCCTTGGCACCTGGCCTTGTTAGGAGTGACCGTGCATCGTAGCCATCGTGGCAACACTGCTGAGGGGGTCCCCAACTTTGGATGCTGAGAACAATACCACACATATATCAGCTGAATTCTACTAACAAATTCGCTTCTTTATACCTAAAGTTTTCTTAAAAATCCACTCTCTCCCCCACAGATAGATATCCTTGGGGAGGCTGTTGATCCACCAGCTAGTAATAATGGAATTAAATGTTTACCTACCTTATAGGACTTTTAGAGATTTATCCACAGAAATCTACACCCATTTCTTCATATATTCCCTAGCTTAGCTGAAATCACAGGGGATATGACAGGACTGTGGCCTCTGCCTCTGATAAAAAATAATTTATATCTGATTGCCAGAGCCAGAGTCCTTTCCCAAAGGCTTCCTACTAAGATCCCACCCTGTCTATAGCATACAGACTCCCACAGCTGGCACCAAACTCAGAAATGTCTCCTTAGGAAGTCAACCTGCCATGGCAACCAAGAAAATGCCTCAGTCTAAGCTCCTGGTTTGCAGAGAGGCCTGTGGCTTTAGAGCCAGGCTGACGTCATACATAAATCAAACTCTTGCTGGGCAAATACCTCGTTTCTCCAAAGGCAGCTGAGGGCCAGGGGCAGGACAGGCTGGTCTCCCCGTTGGAAGCTGACTGTAGGGGGCAGGTGACCTGCCAACAGTGCTGCTTTGGGGGTGAAGACAAATCTTCAGGTAGAGGTAACAGTGACCAAGAGGCCGATTTTAGTGTTCCTTGGTCTTCTGGAGTAATTTGGCATAAAGTGGCAGAAAATAACAAATGCCACAGGTAGAATGAGTGCGAGAAAACAGGGCACGCAGTTGTGGGGTGAATGAGGTGGCCAGTGGCAGAGTTGTAGGGGGGATCCTTTTCTTGTTTTAACTCACAACTCATCTGAAGTGGAGACAGAAGAAGAAATGGACAGCCAGGCAAAAGTAAATTAAAAAAAATTCTTTCCTTTGCATGGAGAGGGGAGAGTTGAGAAAACAGACTTCTGAGCAGTTTTTCAGCACTACTGTTATCTGCCCAGAACCACTCTAGCTCGAGGCTGACTTGCTGACTGCCAGCTACCAGACAGCGGCTACTGCTCCATCCAGACCTGGCTGCCCCAAAGGCTGCAGAGCTAAGCAACCTTGACAAAAATCTCAACTAGATTAGAAATTGGCATATGCCAGCCGAATCGAGGCCCTAAATTTCTGCTGCTTTTATGCCTTTATAATGGCTGCGTAGGGGTGTAACACTATGTTTCAGGGTGGATTCATTATATTGAAAATCATACTAAAGATTTCTCAGGGGAGCAAATAGTGCCTCTTTTGCTCTGAAAGAAATGAAGCTAAAACTTAACCTTGGGTATAGTATCGACTGAAAATTGCTTATATATTTAGAAATTTCTGTGAGAATTTCAGGTTTGTACACATGTATATACACATATATGCATAACATATCAATAGAATAATTTTGGGAACATTTATAAATTCAAGTGAACCAACCATAATAATATTGAATACATTCAGTTGAAATATAGGAAAAGCAGCTAAAAATAATCTTGCTTCAGCAGCCGAGTGGTGTGACACGAGTTCAGGGGGCTGTAGAATCGAGAAATACATTCAGTCACCCCATTCATGACCATCTAACTTCTCTGACCTCATCTCATCCTATGATTTCTTTTTCATCTCCAAGCATCTTTATGAGAATCTGTTCAATGCCTTTTTAGCAGAAAATACAATACCTGGCTCTGAGAATTCTGTCCTTTTAAGTGTTTTTTTGGAAGCATGGAAATCAGATTTCTTTCCCATTTCCTTTGACCAACCTTGACTTTGTCTCAATTTTTAATTATTGAAATGAGATTCAGGAAAAGACTTTTCAGGATGGTTGGCTTCCTTCTGAATAAGGACATTAAATATTCCCATACTCCTAATGTCACCTCTTTCATCAAACCAAATAACCTGTCTTCCCAGCCCAAGACAGGCTGGGTTCTGCACCATCACGAAATCCTTATAAGTTCAGCTACAGAAATGATTTGTAGTTTGAATCTTTTTACTGCCTAGGCTAGTCTCCCCATTTCTAATTCAGAAAGTTGTCCTCACAGAAAAACTTGTACTTTGCTGATTTCTTGAATTGCTGATGTTCATATGCTGGAATGCCAGCCAATGGTTACCACAACTAAACTTTACGAAAATACACTGTAATTTATGGTTTTAAAAAAAATAGAATGAGGAGAACAAACATTTGCATGTTATTTTAAAAGATTAACTTAGATTTTCTTTCCTGAATTAAATTAGGATTTCTTTCCTGTATTAACAGGGAATAGTCTCTGTCTACGTTGCCTTAGCAATGTTTTCTAGACCTGCACCCAAAAGAAAGTCAGAAGTACCAGCAGAACCTTGGCTTAATACACCATTTTGAGGGGCTCATAACACAAAATTCTTAAGTTTGGTGCAAGAGATGGTTTAAGATAGTCCAGCTTAAAAGATGCAAAGCTTAACCCATTGCCAGCTACAAAAAGGGTCTGGTTTCAAAGTTTTTGGGGGGTTTCTGTCCTCCTCCAAGTTTAGGCCTGCTTGGCAGGAATGTTTTGGTGCCATCCCAAGCACTTCTTCTGAGGGCACTGATTTCAGAGCACCTAAGGAGTTGCTATTGCAGGGTTTCCATTTTGAAAGAGCGCTGTTAACACCACTTATATGATGTTTCAGGCACTTGCTTAAAAAAAAAAAAAGGCCATTTTAGCAAGGTGCAGTGGTGAAACATTAGACCCCGGGGTCCTCTTCTTTAGTTGGTTTTTGTGGTGCCACAACCAGTAATCTGAAGCCCTGTGGTAGGAATCT